ATGAATCATATTGCACCGCTTCATGCCATTATTGGGTTCCAGAACTATGTGCAATTTGACGAGATTCAAACTAGTATTCGTGGGCCTGTGGAAATAGTAGAAAGAAATGGTGATGAGCATTTAGTTAAAGTCGTGTATGCCAACAACTGGTCCCCCAAAATTTGTTTACGTGGACTTATCATTCATTTGTTTGTTGGAAGAAAAAATTGGTATACTTATATTGTCACTATAGGTGATGGTGGGGTGTTACAATATTTTGAATATGTGGTGGTAGCAGATATTGGATCAATATTCGCGTCAATGGAAATTATTTGTATGTTGCAGGTTCTTTATCAAGATAAGGCTCTTTTTCTATATACCCTTACAACTATTGTTATGCTCATTAGTACACTAGTCTTTGGCTTCTTGAAAAAATCACTTGTTAGTCATCTACTTTCTTATCATGACAGTACTAAGAGTATAGACAGAGAACCAAGCATCGCAGAATCTGCAACAATCACCTTTCTACGCGCAATGGATATTTGCTCGTGTTGTTTGAAAGACTTGTATATGCACTCCATTCTTACTGGAGGCTCAATGCTCGCTTACATCGGGTCAATATTTGGTGAGGAACGTGTTGCTAGCAGTGTTCCTAACTCGAACCTTGAGGACAAGGTTCTTTTTGAGTAGGGGAATATTGTTGTGAACAAGGCTAACGCAGTAAGGACTTATGGGCCAAATTTGTTGGACAAGACTGATCTAGTTAGGACTATTGGGCCAGGACCTAATTTAAGAGAAAGCCCAAGGATTACTCAACCGAATAGATTATCGGGGAGTTATATTTGGGATCCAGGAATATGCAGGCATGCGAATACTGTTGAGAAAAATGTCTGAGTCCTCTCCTCCCCAATTCTCAGTCTAGCTTTTCATCCCCTTCTTTGGTTCTATTCTATCTTACTTAGCTTCTGCACTTTGTATTTCCAGTACTGTTGTTCTACTTCGTTGAATTGTAATCGTTAGATACTACAATCAATATAATCTGTATTTTGGAGTTGTTACAGAACCAAATTATTTTTCATTTTATCTTGGGTTTGTCAATGACAAACAAATCTTTGGAATGCTTAGCTTGAGATTTCAGGTGAAAATAAGGAATAAAAATGTTGATGGAACGGAAATAAAGGACAGAAGGGTCATTTGGTTGAGGTTCTTGCTAAATAAAAGGGGTGTTTATGTATTTATCTTACAATCTGTTTGGGTCATTGTTTCCCGTCGTTTTATAATGTATTGTATTATATTGTGTCGTATTGTATCGTATCGTTTTACGAATACAATTGGATAGATTGTATCGTTTGTTATTGTTAAATAATATTTTGTTGTTTGGTTTGACTGTATCGTACTGTACTGTAACTGATAAGTTGACTAAAATACCCTCAATCATTTAAATATTAAATTTATTAAAAGTTATGCATAAAAATAATTTAAAACAACAAAACAGAAGAAGGCAAAACACCTTAAGAAAGCAGAACAAAGGAGCGAGACAGAAGAAGGCAAAATAAAAAAGCGCAGCTAATTAGAATTGAGTTAAAAGCAAATTAGGAGAAAAAATAAAACAGAAGGCGGCAAAACACCTTTTACGTTGGTGGCAGAAGTTCTAGAAAAAAATAAAGTAGATTATAGGTTGGAGATTTGGAGTTAAAATAGAAAAAAGGTAAAAAGGTAAAATAGAATTGTGGAGTAATAAGTTAGGGCATAATTGGAAAGAAAAATAGGAAACAATCCCACCACACCAAATCGGTTGTTTCAAAAAAGGGGATTTTTCATTGCCGGAACAATGGATTTAACAATACAATACAACCAATTTTAATGAAACAATCAGAACAAACATTGTTTTGGGATAACAATACAATACGATACAACGGGGAACAACATCCAAACAAGTTGTTAAATCTAACTTTAAGTAAGATCAGGATCACTTTATTTTCTTCGGTAGAATAGTGCGGGACCCTCCTGAACTTCACAATTTTTGTTTAATTCCCCCTTAAACTTTACGTAGTCTTTAATATCCATATGAACTTGACTTTTCCATAGCATCAACCCCCCCCCCCCCC